CCGGGCGCGGCGCCTACTGGCCACAGCTTCGTGGCTGCCGTGCGTGGCGCTGGGGCTGGCGCTGGGCTCGGAGCCTCTGCTCACCGCGCTGCCCGCGCACCACTGCCAGCCGGACCCCGCGCTGCTGCCCCCAGCGCTGCGCACCCTGAGCGGGCCCGCGCTGCTGGACGCCAGCGTGCCTCGCCTGGGCCCCGCGCGCGCCCGGAGCCCCTGCCTGCTCCTGCGCTACCCCGAGCCCTCGCCCCGCGCCCGCCCCAACGGCACGCGGTCCTGCACGCGAGGTTGGCACTACGCGCTGCCCGCCGCCGGCCTGCTGCGCAGCCCGGTCACCCAGGTGCGAGAGGACTGCTCTTCTGCACCCTGCCACCCAAACTCTGCTCCCCTCCTTCGTAACCCCCTTGTTCTGTACCCCCATTCCTCTGTCCCCCTGCACCTCTTCCCCCATTTCTCTGTTCTCCTTCTTCTGCCCCCTCTCTCTGTTCCCTCTCCTTTCTCCCCCTTCCTTTCTCCCCTGCAATTCCCCCTCCTTTCTCTCTCTTGCTCCCTCCCCCCCTTTCTCCCGGTTTTTCTGTTACCCCCCTTTCCTCCCCTTTTTGTCCCTCTTCTTCTTTTCCCCCTTCTTTCTCCCACTTCCCTCCACCCCCTTCCTCTGCTACCCCTTTTCTTTGTCTCCCCTCCTTCACTCCCATGGCTGCCCTTGGTCTACTGAGGCTCTCACTGGGGCGTGCTGCCCCCCTCTCTGATGGTGCAGCTGATGCCCAAGTGATCAGGGTGCCAGGTAGAGTCCACGACCCAAGGGCTGCCGAGGTGGGCAGGCAGCCTGGGGGAGGAAGAGGAGGAGTTAAGCTGAAGGTATGACCAGGTAGGCGGCACCAGGAGTTCACTTCAGGGCCAGGAACATTTTGAGCAACCTGTAGCTTTGGGCTATGTCAAGACTGGGTTTCCAAAACAGAAGGCTTTGAATCAAGGGAGCTTACAGTCAGTTCAGTTTGGGAAAGGCAGACCTAGAGGCAGGGGCGCCCGAGGAGGCAACTCAGGGGTCTGGGTGAGAAGACATAGGGAGGGGCAGCTAGTACCTTCTGACCCTAACTCCCTTTGGCAGCCTCAGCCCCACAGCTGCACCCCCATCCCTGGGAGGATCGGCCCCAGTGTGGAAACTGGGGCGAGGTTGCCACATCCCTGCCAGTCCTGTCTTTGGCCCTTCAACCAGCAGGGCTTCTCTTCTCCCACCCAGTCTGTTCCACCACACACCTGCTTCCTGTTGGTATATCGATCGGTCAGCTGGATTTTAAAATGAAAACTCGGACACACTGTGACTCCAGACAGTATGTTAAGCTTGTACAAAAGGCACAGGACCTTAGTGGGAAGGTGGGGAGGTGCAAAACTGAGGTCAAGTGCCCTTGACAGGAAAAGCAGGTGAGCACAGCTCTGCAGGCTGTTCCGGGAGCTGCTCTTGAAGTGAGCAGGGCAGGGGAGAAGTGAGGGTAAGGCCCTGGAGGCCCAGGGCCCAGCAGGTAGAAACTAAGGTCAGCTGAGGTCCAGGCTCTGGGGGAGAGTGAGGGCTGGAAAGAGGTGAATGAAACTCCACCCAGAAAAACAGAAACCAGACTTGGGGCTCCATGTGGGTCCTCTGGGGACCACAGGTCATCACCCCCTGGGGGCTCAGCCCAGACATTCTTCTAATTCCATGTGACGCCCACCAGAGTCAGGACCCACACTGTGTGACCTCGAGCAGGTCCCTTGCCCTCCCTGTGCCCCAATTTCCCCTTCTATCAAGGAGGGTTGGAGCAGGATGTCTAAGGGCCCCTTCCAGCCTGATATTCTGGGGACTTCCGCACGGTGGGGGTCCTGGCTGGCTGACAGTGACGGGTGTCCCCTGCAGTGGAACCTCGTGTGTGAGAACGGCTGGAAGGTGCCACTGGAGCAGACGAGCCACCTCCTGGGCTGGCTGTTGGGCTGTATCATCCTGGGCATGGGCTGTGACTGGTGAGGTGCTGCCCCTCCCCTTGAGCCCCTCAGGGTCCAGCTAAACCCCTGAGCTGTCCTGACTGGCATCCATGTGTGTCCCCCACTGCCCACCAGGTTTGGCCGCAGAGTTGTGTTTGTGTCCTCCCTGGTGCTGGCCACAGGCCTGGGGGCTGGTGAGGCTCTGGCTGCCAGCTTTCCTGCCCTGCTGGCCCTGCGGCTGCTTCACGGGGGGTCCTTGGCAGGGGCCTCTCTGGCCCTCTACGTGACTCGTGAGTACTGTGGGGGACTGGAGCGGGGCACCCACTCAGGCTGGGCCTCCAACCCCACTAGCGGAGGACGTCAGCCGCAGGGGGGATTCCCTGTACTCTTGTTGAGGGCTCTTCTTGAGAAGATGGAAGGGCACTGTTTGCTGAGTGACTCTGCTGTTTGCGGCTGGCTCAGGTGCTGGAGTGGGCAGGGAGTTGGCTCAGATGTCCACTCCTGGGCAGGTCAGCAGTTGGTGCCCACAGCCCGGGGCAGAGCTGCCCTCTCTAGAGGACTCGGCCTCAGGCCATCTCTATCTGCTCAGGCCTGGAGCTGTGTGACCCCCCACACCGCCTGACGTTCTCCATGGGGGCCGGCCTCTTCTTGGTGGCGGGCACTCTGCTGTCGCCTGGCCTGGCCCTGCTCGCACAGGACTGGCATCTTCTGCAGGGGCTGAGTGCCCTGGCAACAGGGCTCCTGCTGCTCTTTTGGGGGTAAGTATGGCAGGAGACAGGTCAGCAGCCTCCATGGACGCCACCTGTCACTTCCCTCTACACCTCTGTGCGGCACCCGGCATGTGGGTGTGGGATAGGGACGCAGAAAGCCACTTGATGTCCTGACCCTGGTTCCAGGGAGGAAGGGCATTGGCCCTTGTGGTCCCTGTGTGGAGGACCTGAGGCATCCTCACCCCACCCCTGCAGGTTCCCAGCCCTGTTCCCGGAGTCTCCCTGCTGGCTGCTGGCCACGGGGCAGCTGGCCCAAGCCAGGAAGATCTTGTGGCACTTTGCGGAAGCCAGCGGCGTGGACCCTGAGAGCAGCTGCGAGGAGGAGAGCTCCCTGGCTACGGGTAATGCACCAGGAGGAGCCAGGAGAAGGGAGGCCTGGGTGCTGGAGGAGGACCCCCACAGACACACCCTCTCATGTTCTCTCATATCCATAGAGCTGGATGTGCTGTCTGCAGGGAACCCCCAGCCCCAGCGCCACTGGGTCCTAGAGCTACTGCACACGCGCGTCACCTGGAGAAACGGACTCATCCTGGGCTTCAGTTCGTGAGGAGAGGAGGGTGTGGGTGGGCTGAGAGGGTCTGTGCCCCACCACCCCTTTTGGGGGTTCAGTCTCCAGAGTCCTGAGCTCTGGCTGAATCCATAGCTTTGCCCTCTCTCCCAGGTTGGTCAGTGGGGGCATGAGAGCCAGCTTTTTCCGAAGACTGGCCGCTCATGAGCTGGCCTTCTACGGACCCTACTTCCTGGGGGCTGGCCTAGAGGTGGTGGCCATCGTCTTCCTGCTCCTGACAGTGGATCGCTGGGGGCGCCGCCTGGTCCTGCTGTTGGGCACTTTGGTCATGGGCCTGGCATCCCTGCTGATTCTCTCAGGGGTCCAGTGTGAGTGCAGAGCCCTGTAGGCGAACAGGGTCATCCTGTTTGGCTGAGGTCAGCCCGACGGAGCGGGGAGGGTCCTGGGATCAGCCCCCTCCTGGGGTCATAAGAGAGAAGCACGTGTGTTGGGATGAGGCTACTGTCTTTTTACCTTGTTCATCTTCCCACTGTGCACCCAGGGAAACTGAGGCCTAAAGAGTTAAGGGGCTACAAGGATATACATGAAGGGGCTGAATATAAGGGTCTGGTGTGGACGGGGGCAGCCTGCAACACCTGATGCCAAACCCAGGGTGCAGGTGCAGGGGTGAATGGTTGGGGAGGGCAGGCCCAGCAGGACCCCTTGAGACATGGACGAGGGGGGAGCCTGGCTCCACCGGGCCTGGGCAGCATGGGACCCTCTCTTCATCCCCAGACCTGCCCGCCTGGACTGTGCTGTCCCTCTCTGTCCTGGGGCTGCTGGCCGCCCAGGCCGTGTCCACCCTCAGCAGCCTCTTTGCAGCCGAGATCTTCCCCACAGTGATCAGGTGAGCTCTGGGCTGCCCAGCCGGGACACACTGTGTCCTCTTGGGGTTGGACACCCCACACCGCTCCCTCCCCAGCGTATACCCGAGACTTCTCCATTCAGTCCCATCTGGAGTTCAGATGGTCTTCTCCTGGGTGACATGGAGGATACTGGCACAGAAAGGTCAGGAATGGCGGATGGCCACCTGCCCAGGCTGCCCACACTGTACCCTCTCCTGCAGGGCGGCAGGGCTGGGCCTCGTGCTGGGTGCCGGGTTCCTGGGCCAGGCGGCCGCCCCCATCGCTGACATGCACGGCCGGCGGGGCTTCTTCCTGCTCCACGTGGTTTTCGCCTCTTTCGCCATCCTTGCCCTGGTGTGTGTCCTGCTGCTGCCTGAGAGCCGTGGACGTGGGCTGCCCCAGTCACTGCAGGATGCTGACCGCCTGCGCCGATCACCGCTCCTTCGGGTCCGTCCCCGCCAGGACTACCTGCCCCTGCTGCCACCCTCCCACTGCTGGGCCCAGACACAACTGGTCCAGGAAGGGTGACTCTGGCTGGACAGACACACCTCCCCTCAGATGGCCACATGTCAGTGTGGGCAGAGGGGTCTCAGGGAGGAGCTGTGGGCTCAGTGTGAAGGGGGAGTCCTCGGTTAGGCCCCTGTTCCTGGGGGCCCTGGCCTCCTCACCCCAACCCCCACTTGTGAAGGATAAAGGTGTCCATGGAACTTGACATCCTTACTAGTTCTTCCTTCGGGCTGCATCCTGGGCTGAGGGGATCCCCAATCCAAGCTTGTCCAAGCCTGGATGCCTGCAGCCCCTCCCACCGCTCCCCTTGGGAGGCCAGTCCCCACTGCAGCCCTGGCGTGACTCGGGTGGAGTGAGGCACTGCAGGTCATTGTGCAGACCCTGTACCGGAAAGACCACACTTTTAATTCACATTTGCCGGAGAGCTGCTTCCTTTCATACAAAGATGAAATCTGCATGGGGTGTCGGAGCTGGGAATGAGGGTGGCTGCCCCCCTCACAGGTGACTCAGAGCAGTGCTTGTTGGACTCAGGGTGGGAGAGGCACCTCCTTCCCACAGCTCCACTCCAGGCTCTGCCCCTGGGACTCTGTCTTCCCCGGGAGAAGCAGGCTGCCCAAAGCACCTGGCGTGTGGGACCAGGTGCCCTGCGGCATCTCTGCACAGGTCAGCCAGTCCTCCACGCTACACGGCCAGCTGCTGACACGTGCAGTCAGACCTCTGTGGTCAGGCTGTCCATCCTGGTGAGGATGTCCACCCTCTGTGTCCAACTGCTGTGCCCTCAGCAGGGTGGGTGCAGGTCCCCATCAGAAAGCTCTGCCCCGTCCTGAGTGGCCACTGCATCCGGCCCTCAGGGAGGGCCGTACAAGTCGGCCAGCCGGGCGAAGCGAGGGCCCCAGTCCTGGAGGCAGCTGTAGTCTTGGTCCTCGTCACCCCGGCTGGAGAGGATGGAGCTCAGTGTCCCTGCCATGGACCCATCTCCTTCGTAGTCATAGATGAGAGCAGTGTCGTAGGGCGGGACGCTGAGGTCACTGTCCGCAGCTTCCAAGCCCTACAGAGAGGCCCCAGGAGTTCAGGCACACGCACCCCAGCTGCAGTGCAGGGTGAGGTCAACCAAGGTATGGCACCAGGAAGGGGCAGAGGAGGTCTGAGGGTTACCGGGGTTTGAGGAGCAGCATCATTGGGAGCCCCAGTCCCAGGATTCAGATTTGAAAAAAGAAGGTTCCCTCTGATTCCTTCCTTGGGCCCAGCCCTCCCTGAAGACTGTCCTGCCTGAGGCTTCCTGACACCCCATCTGGAGAACAGTTGGTTCTGCCTCTTAAAGGTTTGGCTGGTCTGTTGCCTCCACCTGTTGATATACACATTGGCTTCTGCAGGTTGCATACCTGAACCTGGGCCTGCCCCTCGCCGGGCAGCTGTCAGGGGTGTTATATGAGCCAGGGCACTGCGTGTGCAGGCAGGTGTGGCACCTGGCACACTACTGAGAAGTGCCTGCCTGCTCCCCCTGTCGCCCACTCAATGGGATTCCCAGGTTCTGGGCATCTCCTGTGTTGACCTTAAGAAGTCAGTGATGCTGTGTCCAGAGGAGCGACTATGGACGCCTGGGTTTAGCTGCCAGCTGCACTTCTACCTGCAGGGCTCATTACGTCTCCTCTGCCAGCGCTTGTGGCCAGTACAGCCTACAACCAGCCCCAGCTCCACTGGGCCTACCGCGATCTTGTGCCGGGTGTCAGGGCCTCCACTTCCCGGGGGCTTAAGTGGCTGTGACCCTCTGTTCCACAAGCCTCATTCAGCTCTCAGGTCCTCAGGAGCTTCCTGGAAGCTCGGTCAGGGTCCCCAGGAGTGAGCCCACTCCCTGCGGCTGTGCATGTACGGGGTACATGGATGTACTTGTGTGTGGTGTGTGGTGTGTGTGTGGCCCCTGCCCTCTCCACCCCTGGGGGACCTACATCGTTGATGAAGTCTGCCATGTCAGCGGGGCTGGTGGGCAGCACGCGGGATGGTGGGGGGCGCACCCAGCTGAACGGGGTGTCGCGGCGCAGCAGCGGCCGTCCCAGAGGGGCACTCAGGGCTGCCAGCTCTGCCGGGTGGCGCAGCTGGCTGATGTCGTAGGCATCCTGCGGACAAAGTGCGTGGACTTGAGCCTGGGTCCATGACAGGGTGGGGTTTCCATCCCGGGCACCTTTCTGAGAGCAATAGGTTTGGGGTTTGGGGAGAGGATCTGGGAGGCCCCTACCCTTGGAGCCTGGGTGCTGGCCCAGGGCCACAGCTTAACATTCTGAGCCGCCACGCCACCCACCCCACCCCTGCCCTTACCTGGTCTTCCTCCCCGCCCCCCTGCTCATCATAGTTGAGGATGTTGTCCCGGAGGTCATCCTGCAGCCCCGGTAGCAGCCCCTTGTCCCATGGCTGCTGTCGGAACCGTGAGAGGAGGGCCACCGGCAGGGCGAGCACTGGGCAGGCAGACAAGGTGAGGTTGGCCCCCAGGAGAAGGAGGCGTGGGGCGTGGGGGGGGGTGTGGGGGGACTGAGGGCAGTGGTCTCAGGGCATGGGCACTCACAGAGCAGCAGGATGACACTGGCCAGCACGATGCCCAGGGCGCCCAGGCTGAGGCCTGTGCCCTTTGCCCTCAGCGCAGCGGCCCCCTGCAGGCAGACGCCATCCTGGCCACAGTGGCACACGGTCACATTAAGGAGCTGCTCGCGATGCTGAGGTGGCTGCCCTGAGTCCTGGAGCAGCAGGCTGAGGCGGTGCAGCCCCTCCTGGACCTGGTGCCGCAGCCGAAGGCGCGCATGGCTCACTGTGGAGGGCACCTGAGCTCAGCAGGGCCCCCCGTGCCCCGTGGGGACCATGAGACGCTGGGCCTGTTTCCCATCTGCCCACTGAGTGTGATAACTAATCCCTGCCCCACCTGAGGGACCACTGAGGTGGGACCAGCAGGACCATGTCTTGAGTGACCCCCAGGTCACAGGTCTGGACACCCTCCCCCGGGCGGGGGGCAGAGCTCACTGTTAATCCGGCTGAGGCTCCAGTTCCGGGCCAGCTCTGGGACCCTGGGGCTCAGCTGGAAGTGGAAGGGGGCTCCGTGGGGGGGCAGGTCCTCGTCCGTGGCACCCAGGAGAAGGCCAGAGCCCTGGTCTGGCTCACTGCACAGGCTTCCAGATGAGGGGGACAGCTCGGGGGCGTGGTCATTCACTTCCAGGATCTCAATGGACAGGGTTCCGGTGGCCGTGCAGGGCGGGGAAGCTGCAGACGGAAGAGGCCTGTGGGCTCCTTGCCCTGCCAGAGCCACTGCCCACCTATTGTCGGCTCAGTTGAGGGCCTGGCTCCCAGCCCTTGGGCCAGCGGCAGGGACTCCCAGCCTCGGTCAGAGAGCCATGGAGCCCAGGCCTGGACTCAGTGCTCACCATCGTCGTAGGCCAGGATGATGGCCCTGTACCAGCCATCCTTGAGGAAGGGGGACGCCGGGCTGAGCACACTCTGGGTCTGGACCCAGCCTGTGGCTCCATCCACTTGCAGCCAGTCCTCAGGGTCATAATCCTTGGAGTAGCTGTCAGCCAAGGAGGGAAAACAGGAACAGGGTGGCCCTGAGCTACATGGGACTCCCTCAAGGTGTGGTTACATACAGACACGCGCGCGCGCGCGCGCACACACACACACACACACACACACACACACACACCCTAGCCTTCGAGGCCCTAAGCTGGTGTTTTCTATCCCAATTCACAGATGAGGAGACTGAGGCTCAGGAAGGCAGGTGCGCTGACCAGGGCCCTGTGGCGACTGAGTGACAGCATCACATCGATAGGATTCAACCGTGGGCACCGTGGAGACAGACACAGATACACAGGGCCAGGGTTGGGGTGAAGTCCAAGGGCCAGTCCCATGGGAGCACTGCTCGCCAGAATGGACAGGGCTAGACACTATCTATTCTAAGGCTGGTAGAATAGACGGTGGCCGTGTCAGTATAGTCCTGCCCTATAGAACAGGGTCACACCAATATGTGCACACATGGGACTTGAGACCTCCTGGACTATTGGGAACCCTCAGCCGTGCTTCTGGCCCTGGCAGGGAAACGGAGGAATGGGCTATGTCTATGAGCTCCCTCTGCTTCACCCCGAGGGTCCCCGGGGAGGCACCTGAGCCTCTGCAGCTGCTGTGTGTCGGGGTCTCGGGCAGAGAAGGTGGCCACAGGGGTTCCTGGGGCCGCCCCCTCCGCCAGGCTGGTCCTCAGTGGATTCTCCTGGAACACGGGCGCCTCGTTGACATCCCGCACCTGCACGCTGACTCTGGCCTGATCCCGCTCGGCCCGGGGGGCAGCCGCCTGCAGGGGGACCTCGTTCTGCACCTCCACTCTGAGGTCGTACTGGTCACAACTCTCATAGTCCAGGGGCTGTGGGGAGGAAGCAGAGCCGACAGCCTGCTCAGGACTCCGGGCCCCTCGCGGTCGGCACCCGGAGGCAGGTGCGGCCGGGAGAATGCCTCCCTGTGGCGCTGCTGCCCCAGACCTGCCCTCAGAGCTCCTGCTCTCCTTCTCCTTTTCAGCCTTGGAAAAAAAAAACGTATGCAGGACAAAAGAAGGCACAGAAATAATGTAAAAATGATCAAATAAGTACTCGTCACTCAAAATGAATTTGTTGGGTGATGTGTGATCAGTTCTGTGTTACTTGGCTGGGCGGTCCTCCCAGCGACGCATCTGGGTATTGACGGGAGATATCTGGTTAAAGTAACATCTACGATCATTTGGCTTAAGAAGATTGTCCTGAACCATCTGGATATCCTGAACCTCACACACTGTTGAAAGTCTTTAAGAGCGAAACAGGTTTCTGAGGAAGAAGAATTCCGCCTCAGGACTGCAGCCCAGCTCTGAGCTGCCAGCTTACCCTGCCAACTTCAGACTTGCCCAGCCAGCCCCACAATGGCGGGAGCCAATTTCTTGCAATAAATCTCTTCAGATATCAATATCTAAATATATCTATATCTTTACGTGTGTGAATATACACACGTGTTTCCTGCTGTTTCTCAGGTTCACGGGTACAGTCTGTATTCACACACGATTCTTATACAGCGTGGCAGCACACTGTAAACAACGCACAGGCCCTGTGGTCAGCGCGACCTGAGCCTGCACTCCAGCATTTCCCATCCTTTTGGCTCCATCCCTCCCTCTACTCTCTCCTGAGGATGCAGAGGGTCCAAACAGGGTCCCAGGGTGCGAGGAGAGGCACCCTGTATGGGATGCTTGTGCCGGGGGAGTTTGCACCGCTCACCTTCACCACAGACAGCACGCCTTCGTTGGTCTTGGGGTCTGTGCGGATAGCAAAATGCCCATCGGGGTCGCCCTCCAGGATGGTGAACCTGGCTGCCCAGTTGGGGGAGCCTGGCAGGTCCCTGTCCTCCACCTCCAGCCGCCCCACATCGACTCCACTCATGGCCTCGGTGGCCTCCATGAAGAACTGTGGGAGCCACTCCAGTCACCTGCCAGGTTGTCAGGGGTGGGGCCTCCCCGCCTCACCCCTCCCAGCTGAGTGCTGCCCACCCACTGGAGTCCTCCCAGGTTTGTTTGCCTCCAGAGTCACTACCCCACCCCCTTCAGAGGCCCCATGAGCCCTCTCTGTGGGCTCAACTGCACATGGGTTTGGGGGACACAGAGGGATGTCTAGGCTGCTTCTCCCAGGGCCCCCCTCCTGACTCCTGACGGTTCACTGATCACAAGCACCGTCTCTGTTGCCCCCAATTCAGTCTCTGTGCTACCTGTGCAGGACTCCTGCTCCAAAGCACCCAGCCTCAACCCGCCACGAAGCCCTGGTCGCCACTGGGCCTGGGGAGGGGAGGGCAGCCTGAGCGGGGGCTGGTGGTGTGGGGACCGGGGTGGTACCTCCTCCCTGGTGAAGCCGGGGGCGTTGTCATTGACGTCCTCGAGAGTGATGATGGCTGAGGCAGTGCTGGTCAGGCCATCTCCAGACATGTCCGCCACCTGCAGGGTCAGATTGTACACGGCGACCACCTGGGGATGACAGCGTGGGGTCGGGAGACTGAGCGGGCCCAGGACCAGGTAAGGAGTGGGCCACCTGCGGGCTCAGTTGACACAGGAGAGCCCTGTGGGTGGCAGACGCCCCAAGTGGCTCCAGGTACCCTGCCTGCTCCCAAGCTCTGGGGCAGATGTGCTGCCTGGCCTCTCGGGGTCCAATGGCAGCGCTGTGAACCCTAGACTCTGCCCAGCCTTGGAGTGGGCAGGAGGTCAGCTACCAGCCAGAGAAGCACTTACAGAGCACCTGCTGTATGCTGGGTGCTGAGGGCACTGCGAGCTGGGTCCCTGCCATAGTAGAGAGAGAGAGAGATGGATGAGGACCACCTAACACAGCAAGAGACCCGACAGAGCCACACAGGTGGCTGTGGAGAAACCAAGCAGGGCTTCCTGGAGGTGCGGACGCTGCACAGAAGCCCGGCAGTGAGAGGCAGCAGTGGTCCTGACAGAGGGTGGCCATCACTCCAGAGCGTGAGTGGTCACTGTGGGGCCCAAGAGGTGACAAGCCCGACTGCTGAGTAGGCAATGGGTATTTTTGGCAGAAAAAGCACCGAGGACGTGTCAGGTCCAGGCGCTGTATTGAGGGCCGTTCACACCCTCTCTCGACCTAACCCTACAACCACCCAGGAGGCAGGTGCGCCCCAAGCCGAGTCTGTGCCCAGAGCCGGGAGCCACCATGAGCATTTGCAGCAACTGGAGGCCTCCTTCACCTGCAGGGGAGGACAAGTCTGGCTGAGCGGCACTGGGTCAGAGGGCCCAACTCGAAATGAGCTGCCCCGTGCATCCCAAAGCACCACCAGGGTGGGTAGATTGGTCAAACAGGACGCTGGCTTCCCTGCTCCCAGCTTCCAAAGCAGCGCGGTGGCACCTCACCTCCCGGTCCAGGCCCACTTGCACGGTGCGTATCTCCCCTGTGTGCTCATCGATGCTGAAGAGCTGGGGGCTGCCCTGCTCCAGGATGGAGTACCGCAGGGCCGCGTTGTCTGTTTCTGGGTCGTCAGCATCCGTGGCCTCGGCTCTGGTCACATAGGTGCCTGGGAAGGACGAGGGCATGTGAGCAAGACACCCATGAGTGCCAACCCCTAACTTCCACTCCCCCGCGGCCCACCATGCCAGGTCCGGGCTCCCGGCTAGGCCTGTGCAAACGTGAATGTCCAAGCCATTGCCCGTGCTGTTGGTGGGGGAGAAAGCAGAAGTGTATGATACGTGTTCAATCGATATCTGCGACTCCCACAAGACACTGAGACGGCCCGGCAGGGGCCGAGAACACTGGGTCAGATGAGGCGAACCAGCCGGAGAACCCGGGGCTGGCCCTGAGCCCCAGCTGCCTGGGAGTCAGAGGGTGTGCCCGCACGCCGAGCAGGCGCTGTCCTCAGCCCCGCCTGCAGAGAGAAGCAATGGCCAGGGCTGGACCTGGGCGCTGGGGCAAACAAGCCACCAAATCTCAGGAAGGGGTGGGGGCTATGCAGGGGCCAGGAGGGGTTTTTGGCAGAAAAACCCATTTCCCTCTGGTGAGATTTAGGTCTGACCTCCATCCTCCCCATAGTCCATCTGAAGCACGACTCGCCTGGCTCTGACCAAGCCCCTGAGAGCAGGGTGGGGAGAAGGAGGGAATCTGTCTGGAATGGAATCTGCCTGCCCTGGAACAGACTCAGATAAGCAGGTCCGTCCTGTAAAGACTCAGAAAGGACGGAGGGTTGAGTTTTGTTTGTGACCAGAATGTAGAATTAAGAAGCAATGAGAGGGCATCACTGCTCCGTGGGCATGGGTTTCCTTTTGGCGGATGACAATGTTCTGGAACTAGATAAGGTGCTGGTTGCGCAACCTTGTGAATGTGCTCGGTGCCACTGAAGTGTTCGTTTTAAAGTGGTTAATTTTATGTTATGTGAGTTTCACCTCAATTTAAAAGCAGCAGCAGCCGCCAGAGCTTTGCCATCCATGAATCCTCTCAATGCATTTTGGAAGACTTGGGGGTTTGAAATTAATATTGAAATAGGAAGTGACTTGAGGAAATTCCATCAGTACTGGAAACTGTTTACTTATTTTTAGAATCTTTTAGGACCTCTGACATTCCTGCTAAAGGGAAATCCTGGGCTTCTGGCCTACCCAGAGCCCCTCCACGGCAGCCCCCCCGCCCCGCCCTGCGGGTGGCCCCGCTCCCACCGCACCTGGCACAGCACCCTCCAGCACGTGGCCGGTGAACACCTCCTGCCGGAAGACAGGCCTGTTGTCGTTCTGATCCACAACCACAATCTCCAGGTCCGTGGGCTCCTCCAGGGTGGATCCTCCCAGGTCCAGAGCAAAGGCCCTTAGCTAGTCAACAGAGAGCAAGGACTGGCACTGTGAGCCCCACATTTCCGTGGCTCCCACAAGGGCCACGCAGAAGGGACGGCACGTGCAGACTTTGTGTTCTGCTGGAAACACCAACTTAAACAAATGAGAAACGGTCCAGGGGTGGGGCATGTGCTGCAGCAAATGGATCTTCCCCTGAAGAGGCCACTGCTCTCTCCTAGCAGCCAGGGCGACCCCTGCCTCCCCTCTTGCCTTGGCCACCAGGAAGCTCCCAGCCCAGGGGCTAGCATGTTTCAGGTGGGCCGGAAGCAATGCTCTCACTAGCAGTCCTGGTCTCTCTCCCTTTTTCTATACAGTTTGGCTCCTCCTGGAGAGTATTTTAATTCCCCTGTGCACATGAAATTTGTAATTAAACCACCTTTTATCCTCTCGGAGCACGGCCATGACGTAACTCCCAGGGAAAGACGTCACTCTACTAGCTTTCCGTGTGAGGAACAGTCTGAAGGAAGATCCACGGCACATGAGGCACAGGCAGAGGCCCCTCCCCCAGGCAGGTTCCGAACGACAGACCGGGATGGGGCCGGGCAGGTCACTCTGCAGGGACTCAGAGGAGGGCCTGGCTCCCCTCCTCACCCTCTTGCTTACGTGGCTCCTGTCTCCCTCCCCACTGCCTTTCTCTCAGATCTCACAGCCTCAACCCTCCCAAGGCTCTGTGGTGCCTTCCCCTGGGCCCCACCCCTGTGGGTCAAGAGGCACCTGCCAGTGGGATTTGGCAAAACTGTGGGATTCTTCCAACATCCCGTCCCCACCAAATGCAGCGGGTGTGGGAGAGCCGGCTATGGGTGACAGGGCGTCACCAGTATGGGGAGGTGCTTCCTTGCTGCAGGCTGCCCGGTCCTCCCGGAGGGACCAAGCCGCCAGTTAAGGGCGCCGATCTTGCTGGAGAAGTGATCTGGCCTGAGGTGCGCACCCGGAAGCGGTCGGTCTTCTCCCGGTCCAGCAGGGCGTTCAGGAACACCTTCCCTGTGAACTTGTCAATGGAGAACACACCTCGGGGCTCCTCGTCCACGCCGGGCCCCTGGATGCTGTAGATGACGCTGCCCAGCTGCTGCTTGTCAGACTTGATCTGCCAGGGCAGGACATGGGCTGGGGGCGGGGCCCCAGGGTGGGGTCCCCTCCCTCTCCGCAGCCTCGGCCCCTGCTCCCCCCCCACCGCCCCACTGGGGTGGGCAGCTCAGCCTGTGGCCCCGATGGCATTCCCAGCCTAAAGCACACAGCTTCGGGGACCCACTGGGGGACAACCACCCCTGCTCTGCCCACTCTCGCCCCTCCCCTCACCTGCACCAGTGGGTAGGGGAGGCGCTTGTAGTTCTCGGACACACTGATGGGGGGGATGACCCAGGCTCTGCGCACGCGGCCAGACGAGGGTGCCCGGTGCCAGGGGAACAGGGTGCCGGGCCTCCTCAGCCCGGGAACCCCCAATGAGAGGTCCAGGCCCTGCAACAAAGACACACACAGCCGTCACACAGCTCGTACCCCAGGGAGCCTGGGAGCAGGCTGAGAGCTACTCTCCCACCGGTGGTGGCGGTGGGCAAGTGAACTCCCCTCCCTGGAAGGCAAGGAGCACCTTGCCCCACATCAAAACCCTGAGCTCCGGACCCTGGGAGGCCCCAGCAGCCACACCCCCAAGCCCGGGGCCCCAAAGCTCAGCGTCTGTCTCTAGCCCTCTCCTGGGAGCCTTGGAACCTCGGTCCGGGAGTTATCACAGGCTTCGGATGACTGAGGAGCTGACCATGCTGTACCCCCACTGCATCTTCCTGAGGGCCAGGCACCTCTCCCCAACGTGGCCCAGGGGAGACTCGGGCGCCAGGGCCAGGGAGGCGTGGTAGACTGGGGAGGGGGAGAACCTGGGGCTGGGAGAGGAGGGCTGGGAGGGAGGAAAGTGATGAGTAATGGCAACAGCTGGCCCAGCTGGGAGGCCCCTTGTTGTGAAGAATGTGGATCAGGGGGTGGAGGGTAGGCAAGAGAGCAGGTGCCAGGGGCCCTCCTGCGCCCTCCACATGGTGGATCTGTCCGAGGAGGAGGTGTGGGGGCTCCTAGCTGCAGGCTGGGGCAATGGGAGGTGCCACGTGGCCGTCCCAGGCCTCCTCACAGCTTGGATCCTTGAGGATTGGTTGAGGTCGACCTGACTAAGGCTTTTGTCAGAAGAGGCCCAGCGACAGGAAGGGGCCGGCTGAGGGCCAGAGCGCCCCGCCATTCTGAGCTGGCTTTCTCCAGACATGTGGAACCAGGTGCCACTTTCACCCCTTAGTTCCTGGTACCTGGGGACCCTCGGACACGCTCCTCCCTCCTAATCCACATGTCCAGGGGACTAGGATGCCCTGTGTGTCATGCTGCCACTCAAGTCCCAGTGCCCAGTCTGGGGGGTGGCAGAGGGGGTTGAGGCACAGGTGGTAGCTGTGCTCCCCCCACTCTGCCCCGGGGTGGGGGGCGTGCAGACAGGGTCCCAGGTCCTGCCCCATGGTGAGGCGGTCACCACCTGTTGAACTCTGGGATCAAAATCAGGTGGGCCAGCATAGGGAGGGGCCCAAATGCTCCTCAGACCCACTGCCCGCTGTCTGTCACAGAGAGCCCCACCCTACCACTCAGATGGGGAAACTGAGGCTCAAGAGAAAGTCCCATCCTGTGAGTCAAGGGCAGAGCTGGCAGCAGCCCCACAAACCACATTCCTCAGAACGGCCTGGCTTACATAGGAGGTCTCTACACCCGCTCCTCGGCCCCGTGCTGGCGGCTTGAGTATGGACTCTGGAGTGGAAGTGCCGGGGGCCCTTCATGCTCCCCAAATTGTGGGTGAGGCTGATGCTGGAGCAGGTCTTGGATAGGCCAGGCCATGGGAGGGTGCATTTCTTACATTCTCCTGCAGCCAAACCCAGCTGGGCCCCAGCAGGTGCCTGGACCCCCTACCCCCACCACAGGCCTGGGAGATGTCTGCCCCACCCAGGGTCTCTAGGCTCCCGGGCCCTTCTGAGGGGGGCTCTCTTCTAGTCGAGGCAGACCAGGTGGCTCCAACAGCCCCTCCAAGCCCTGCAAGGCCCCCCACCAGCTGCTTGATCCTGCTGACTTCGCTTTTTCTTCCTCCCAGCCATGCAGTCTGTGGAGGGACAGCATGGGAGGGGGTGGGCTGGTGGCCTCAGGGGAGTAGGGGCAGTGTTTGGTGAGTGGGGGGTGCTTAGGGGCGGGGCAGGGGCAGAAGGCTGCTGGGCTGTGTAATCCTCTTGTCTTCAATCCTCATTGCGTGCCTCCCCCTCCCTGGCTTCTGCCCAGGGCTTGTTCCCCCCCAGCCCAGGGCCGGGCACAGTGGGTCCTCAGGCACTTTGCTGACAGAATGGCAGTAACATCCAAGCTAAAGCCAACCTCTCCGGTGGCCCTAGGTCAGCGATGGGGAACCTTTTGAGCTCGGCGTGTCAGCATTTTAAAAAACCCTAACTTAACTCTGGTGCCGTGTCACATATAGAAATTTTTTGATATTTGTAACCATAGTAAAACAAAGACATATATATGTGTGTGTGTGTATATATATATATATTTTTTTTTTATATATGGAACGCTTCACGAATTTGCGTGTCATCCTTGCGCAAGGGCCATGCTAATCTTCTCTGTATCGTTCCAATTTTAGTATATGTGCTGCCGAAGCGAGCACAAGACTTATATTTTTGATATTTATTTTATATATTTAAATGCCATTTAACAAAGAAAAATCAACCAAAAAAATGAGTTCGCGTGTCACCTCTGACACGCCTGTCATAGGTTCGCCATCACTGCCTAGGCCGTCTCCTCAGTTTTGGAGTCCTCCTCCCTCTGCCTCATCTAAACTGCCAGCAGCCGGTCCCCTTCGGAGCCTGGAGTCCAGGCAGCAGAAACCCGGTTTGCAGAAGGAACCAGGCGGCTGGCCAGGCTCTGAGCTCCCTGCAGCCGGACAGATGGCAACGCTGGCCCCTGAGCCTCCGGGGGCTGCTGCCAGAACCACCCAAGCACAAGCCACTTCCAGGTTGGCGTGGTTTCCCACCACGTGGAGACCTGCCTGCCTGCGTCACCGTGCTGGTGGGGACAGCGTATGTTTTCTGAGCATCTGAGGGGAGCACCAAGCTCGAGCCCCCCTTGTCCCTTTCCTTTCTTCCCCTCCCTCCTCCCCAGACCCTCTCTCAGCCTCACAGTCCCTAGGAACGGCGGTGATCACCTCATTTCACAGCTTCCCAGAGGCTGAGTCCCCATTTGCTCGAGGCCAGAGCGCAGCAGAGCTGGGAGCTGCAGGGAACCTCGCTCAGGAGCAGGCTCTGAAAGGAGCCCAGTGTTTACCTGGCGCCCTCCCGGCCCTGCCTTCAGCATGGGGTGGGGGTGGGACCGGGGCTGGGCACAGTCCACAGGCGCTCCTTTCCGCAGGCTCTGAGCAGGACGCTGGGGGACACACTCAGCCCCGTCTAGCTGTGGCCACATCTGGGACGGCTCCTACCCCCAGCCCACCACAGCCTCTGTCTGCCCCCTTCCTGCCAGGGCCTCTCTGACACTCCAGGATGCCCACCAGCTGGGTGTGGGGCCAGTGCGGAGGAGGCAGAGCCTGGGAATCCTGGGTCCTAGTCTGTCTGGGCTCAAGTTCATGAGGTCAGCAGAAGCCACAGCGCCCTGGCACGGCCCCTCACCCAGATCAGAGGCTGCGGTGGGGGTGGCTGCGCTGACTTCCGGATGCAGGAGCACTTCTCAGTGTGTCCTTTGTCCTCCCACACCCCCTCCCAATCGATGTGCTGGCTGGGGGACCGTGGAACAAAGTCACATGGACAAAGCCAGCTCACACAGACCCCCAGACACAGGCAACACTGTTGAGTGACGTGCTCACATATGCCACCCATCTTGCTGTCTCCCATGCCAAGCCCAATGACACCCCATGTTCACCCTTGACCTGCCTTTAACCAAGAACCCGAGAGAACACTCTGGAAGCCCTAGAGACACAAGGCTATTGCCCCTCACTGGGGTCCACCCCAGCACTGGCACCCAACCCAAGGGCTGCCAAGTAATGAAGCTCCCACCGTGCAGAGCCCTTGCTATGACCAGGCTGCGTGGTGAGCGCCTCGCAAACACTCGTGCAGGGGCCAGAATGGTGCCGCCCAACCCAGACCCCGCCAGGGCACTGGGCCTGTGAGCAGCTGGCCACCTCCTGCCCCGATGCTTCTCTGGCTTCAGGGAAGTTCCCATCCCACAGGATTGGTGATTCGACTCCTCCCTGGTCAGACAACACAGGCCACACTGTGGGGCAGAGACACGTAGCAAAGGCCAGGGGTCCAAAAGCTGACTAATCCAGTCACAGTGTGTGTGTGTGTGTGTGTGTGTGTGTGTGTAGATAGGGATGCCATGAGTATCCCCCAGGCCTACTGAATTAGGACACCCAGTAGTCACGAAGCCCATGTGATTCTTGGAAACACGGGGGAACTGGGCAGCACTGAGCTGAAAGGTGGGACTTCAGGGTCACACAGCCCCACAGGCAAGTCCCTCCGCATCTCGGGGGCTGTGTGTGGGGTGACCCAGAGCCTGTGGTGAGCGCTGGGTGAGGAGATCACTGCCAACATCAATTCCGTTCAGAAGCAATGAGACAGTGCCCGCCAGAGGCCTCTCGCCCTTTGCCTGTGTCCGTCCTGCCTGCGGGCCTGGGGCAGCCCCAAGGGCTCTGCTTCTCTCCATCAGCCCAGGCGGGTTCAAAACCAGGAATTATAAGCAAGGCCCCTCTCTCAGGAGCCTGGGAAGAAAGCTGGGCATGTGGCTGGCTGCTCACCACCCTAGGCAAAGGCTGGGTGGAAAGTGAGGAGACACCCGCCCCCTTCCCCTCGTGGCACTGGGGCTTCCGGTGGCCCCTGGTGAATGGGAGCAGGGGACCTGGGCTTGGGCAGGATATTTGCTGACTGGGGTCCAGCCCCTGAGTCCTGTCCACAGCTGTATGTCTTGGTTGGATAAAAGGGAGCAAACATTTTCTATTCCACCCCCTCCTGGTGTAGTTGGGCAAACCTGAGAAAACGTGGATGCAACAGCAGCTTGAAGAGGGTCTCTGGGTGCAGGGACATCCCTCCAACACCGCCTATGCCAGCGGTTCTCAACCTGTGGGTCGAATGACCCTTTCACAGGGGTCGCCTAAGACCATCGGAAAACATATATAATTACATATTGCTTTTGTGATTAATCACTATGCTTTCATTATGTTCAATTTGTAACAATGAAATTGGGGGTCACCACTGGCCTAGGCCCTGGGTTTCTCAGATTCAAAGAACCAGGCAGGAGGCCTGTAGCCTGAAGGAGCCTGGGCTGCGGGGGAGGCCGGGTGCCATGGAGGTCAAGAATCCCTGCTCTGGACTCCCCACAAGCCTGAGCCCCTAGCCCCAGGCTGGAATCCAGGCCACCCCATTCCTGGACGGCCTGGCAAGCATCAGGCATGCCAGGAATGGGCCCAGCTGTCGGCCTGGCCCCGAGCACCCCTGAGCTCCCCTCCAGCTGCTGCAGGCTTTAGGGAAGGAATGAGATGGTCAGGCAAAGGGCCGTGGGAAAAGCAGCCGTTTCCTCTGCCTGTTCCCGCTGCTGTGACAAACTGCCACTGCGCCATCCAGCATCCAGCCCCCCTTGGAGAGCCACTCCCCAACTGTCACCCCACCCTGCACTGGAAAGATGAGCGTCTGCTGTGGGTGCCATCTTGTTCTAGGCACTTTCCCCCTTGGCCCCTGGGGCGTCTTCACACTTTACAAAGCCCCCAGCAGTGTGGGGGGAGCCTCTTTCTTCCAGAAACCATGTGGCTCACTGGCCAGACACAGGCTCGGGGCGCCTCCCCGCAGGGCATGGACCTGTCCTGAATCATTGCTGCTACCCCAATCCCTCTGCCACTCCCAGGGTAAGCTCAGCTATTGGAGCCGCTGTGGGCAGAGGACGGGGTGACAAAGGTCGGTTCTGAAAATACACACGCTAAGCCCCCTGGTTGAGATTTTTAGGGGACCCAGGCAGGGGAGGGGCGTGCCTCAGCCAAGGCAAAGGATCTGCCCAGCCTGGTCTCCAGGACCCTCACCCCCACCCAGGGGCCCACCCCAGATAGCCCTGCAGGGCCTGAGGCCGACCTGCCTTGGGGGCTCATGGAGGTGGAGGAGAGTGTCCAAGGGCAGCCACAGAACCCGTGTGGCTGGACGGAGAGGACTAAAGTCCGAAAGCTGAGCTGCGCAGGGGAAGGGTGGGCTGGTCCCCTCCTTCCCCTGACAATGGAACTAATTTAAGCCGCTGTGTGCAGGAACTTGAGCAGCCGGGCCCCCATTGGTGGGCCCCTCACCCCCACCTGAATCCCAGCTGTCTGGGGAGAGGCATTCTGTAGTACCCTTGGGGGAGGGGCAAGGAATCTGAGAGGTTTCTACTCCCCTCCCCTCCGGCAGAGTGGAAGGTGGACACCCGCCGACCCAGAGGAGCGGGTCTGCAGGAATGTGCCTGCGATGATATGATGCTATGACATCCGGTGAGGTGCTGGGGCAGAAATGCTGTTCCCAGGTCCAGTGGGGAGGGAGCATGGAAGGTGTTGAGACATCTGGGCCCCACAGGGGGTGGTCTCCCAGCAGAGGGCTGGAAGGGCAGAGGCCTTGCTGGGCTTAGGTGATCACCGCTGAGGCCTAGGCGTAGGGACACTGTCTGGGGTGGGGGGTGGGGGAAGTGGGAGGGCCTAAAGGCAGGGGAGGAGATAGTTGGAGCCCGGTGCCCTGAGGGGCCAGCTGCTGTGGAGGGTCGGGCTGGCAGGCACCTGGTCAGCTGCCAGGGCTGAAATCTGAGCTGGCCAGCCGGATAGCGAGTCTGTGGGAATTAGGGGACCACAGGAAGCCCCTGAGGTGGGTGCTGGGAAGCCCGCCTCTCATCAGCATCCCATGCTGCTTAATGGGCCTGCAACTGTAACAGCAACAATAATTCTACCACTGCCCGGCCCTGGCCCCTGGCCTTTGGCCTGTGACCTGGCTCAGCCCAGTCTCTGAAGGCAGGAGGCCATTGAGGTCATGCTCCCTTCTCAGGCACAGCCTAGCGCCTGCCCAGCAGCCGAGGGCATGAGGAGATTGTGGCCCTACTCAGGGGCGCCCATGGCGGGGAGGAAGGGGGCAGTCTGTGCTTCCTTCTGCCTAGCCTGCTCCCATGGTGGGGCGCTGGAGGACCAGCAGGGATGTGCAGGGTCGTGGGGTTTGTGCTGGGGCCTGGCTTCCCTGGGCACAGGGTACTCCCAAGGCAGAGTGAGTTCCTGGAGGGTGGAGCTGCAGCTGTTCCTGCTGGCAGGGCTCATGGAGAGGGGCTCAGACTTCCCCCAAACCTCAGCAGGGTCCCGACAAAAATCTGGCCTCCCAGCTCCTCCAGCTGGGGTGCTCCTGCTGCTCCGCCCTCGCCCTGCCCTCCACCACAAGGCTGACTACCCCAGGGCCGAGGGGCACACTCAAAGGGAGGGGCTGCCTGCTAGGTGGCCGCCTGGCAGTCCCCCAGCGTGGCTCCCCGTCCAGGCGGAGGCAGTTACTCTGGCATCTGGACCCCCCTCACTCCCGGGGCATCAGCGCCCCGGGCAGCAGAGCCTCACCCAGGACCCTCAGCTCACAGGCCCACAAAGGCAGCCAGGGCCAGCAGTCCCGGGGTGACCCGGCGCCCTACTCTAAGACTGCCGGGCAGTGCAGGGAGGCAGGGACCCCGTGCAGCGCCTATGTCTTACCTGGGCCAGCAGCCCGAGGGCGAAGAGGAGCACGGTGTCCATGGGCGACAGGCCGGCCGAGTGTCCGCCTGCGGGCAGAGCTGCGCCTCCCGCTCAGACAGAACCACTAAGTGACAGCACAAGTGCGTGGTGGAGGGGCAGAGTGAGTGACTGCACGTGGGCGGGGCGGGGCCTGGTGCTGAATGACAGCACAAGTGTGCAGGCTGGGGATCTAGTGAGTGACAGCACGTGTGTTGGGGCGGGGCGGGGGCGGGGTCTGGGCCTGAGTGACAGCGCAAGTGTGCGGGCAGGGCTGGGGCGGGGCCAAGTGAGTGACAGCCTGTGTGCTGGATGGGGTGGGGGCCGGCCAGGACTGAGTGACAGCAACGTGTGCAGGGCGGGGCCTGGGCTGAGTGACAGCACTTTGCTGGGCTAGAGAGCTGGGTCAAGAATGAGTGACAGCACTGTGTGGGCAAGGTCTGGCGCTGAGAGACAGCATTGCAGGGGATTGGGTCGGGGTGGGGGGGTTCAGTGGGGGTGGAGTGACCAGGGGCTGAGTGACAGGACTGCGTGCGCCTAGGTTGGGACTGGGGGGCCCCGTGACAGCACTTGGGAGGCAGATGGCAGGCTCTGGAGGGTCGGGGTCCGGCGGCTATTCTGGGACGCTCGCTCCCGGGTCAGACGGTGGAACCAAGACCGTCTGAAAAGGCAGCGGTCGGTGAAGTTGGGCTAGGGCGCCAGAGTGGATTCATTCACTCATTTTCTTTTTTTACTGGTCCCCGAACCTGCCAGGCACACTCCTGCTTCGGCAGGGCCTTCGCACTAGCTGTTCCCTCTGCTTGGAATGCTCTTCCCCGCCTTAAGGGCTGTCTAATGGCGCCTCCTCACCACCCATTAGACATGGTCACTGCCTTCACTGGCATCTCCCATCTTGAATCACATGTGCCAATGTGTTCACTGTCTGTTGTGGAGCTCTCCTGGGACGGGTTATTCCCTGCTGACCCAGGGCGAGCAACAGAGGAAGGCCAGGCACAAACCCAGTACCCCCCCCCCACCCCCCCCAGCCAGAAGCCTTCCTTCCTGCTCTGGTCTCTCTGGTCTCCCCTGTTGGCAGTTACCTGGTTGGGATCATATCGCTCTTCTCAAGCCCTGCTGCCTCTCACAGGCCCCGCGTGTGGAAAGGAGTGGGGAGAGGGAAGGAGGGAGGGAGGACCCTGGGGATGACATGCGTTCTGAGGAGCAAGAGCAGTGGGAGTGGGGCTGCTGACCAGCCTGGCCCTGGGCTGGGGAGCCCTGTCTGGTCTCTGTCGCAGGAGCAGGCAGGGGCTTCTTGCTTTTCTCTCCAGATTGCTGGGCTGCCGAGCAGGTGCAGCTCCATCTGTGCCCTTGGCCTCCTTGGAAGAAGGCCAAGCTACCTGGGGGAGGCGTTGGCAGTGACTGTGCCCCTGGCATTCACTGCTCCACGGTGGGGAGCGGGGAGCCCCCTCCACCTCCAGGCTCTGAAGCCCTGGGCTGGGGAGCAGACCCTGGGGCCTCCACCCTGCCTCTGAGGTTAGGGCCCTCACACACAGAGGAGAAGCCCTCGTGCTTGGGGTTTCTGCCTCCTGGTGCGAGTGTAGGAGTGGGGGTGGGGGCGGGGGTGGGGAGTGAGGTGGCTGAACCACCCAGAAAGAGGCAGCCCTTGTTCCCCTGGGTAACGTCAAGCAGGAGACGGCCTTCTGATATCCTCCACCCCCACCCCACTGCTTTTCCGTCTTTCCTCTGCCTTGCTCTCGGCCATCTATCTTCCACCCAACAACCTCCCCCTCCCTACCCCCCCCCCCCAACCCCCGGTTGGAGGGGAAGCTGGGTTCTGCCATGAGTGAGACCCAAGTGCAGGGGCCGCTGGGGAAGGGTGTGGTGCCCAGGCTGGGCAGGAGCTCCTGGTAAGGAGCCCCCCCTGGGCCAGGGCAGTCTTTCTCTCCACCAGCCTCCTCAAAGGTTGTCCAAGGCAGGG